TGGAAACATAGGCTTTACATTTGGCTCTAAACTCAGGTTGTCAACTGGTTCCTGGAGCCGAAAGCAAATCCCGCTTGAGCGATTTTGGAAGCAGTTACAAAGTCAGGGCCCAGAACTAACCGTCTGAGGCACTATTTGGTACTATACTTACTTTGTACACGTCATAGTCGTTGATGGTGGCATCGAACATGGTGTAGAGATCGTTGAGCAGGTCGACCACCTGAAAAGGGGAAGACATTGCAGAAATCGTCGTGAAGCCCACGATGTCACTGAAGTAGATCGTCACTTCATCAAAGGCCTCCGGTTGTACTGGCTGGCCCAGCATCAGGCTTTGTGCGACCACGCTGAAATATCGACAGGAGATGGGATGCGACAGAGAAATGAAGAAAATGAAGTGGATAACTCATCAGACGTTTCGCCAGAATCGTACTCACCAGCCTCTGCTGGAGGCCCAATTTATTATGCCTGGCTCTACTTGAAGTTCTTCATAAATTTCCACCAACATTTCGCAATTTTTACCTTCACTTTGCCACTAACTTCATAAGACTAAGGCCAAACACAAAAGAGTATCAAGGAATTAATATGAATACAACCACATGACAAATTCCAACCGAGAGATGGCGAGAAAGGTGAATGGAGGCACCAGTATCTGAGAGTGGAAAAATTCGGCTTTAGAGCTTTGCTGCCAGTTTTAGTATGTCTGCAAATGTGGGCAATTTAATGCCATTTTTTAATACGGTTTCCAGTTTCAACAAAAGCTTGTCCTCTGTTTCTTGACCACATTCTACTCAATACTTGAGCTTATTCCATTTCGAGTAAAAGTGTTTGGTGAAAGTATTCAAAAGGTCGATTCCACCAGAAAACGACGTCGGATTACTTTTGACCAGCTTTCGATTGTCTTCACTTGAACCTTCATGATGACACTGTTTCCGAGGTAGTCTCCTTCGATTCCGGTGAAAGGGTGCTAAGCTCTCGTTCATCGTATGACGAACATCATTCTTACAAGGAAATCCAAGCTAACGAGTCAAGTTTTCTTGTTCTTGGTTGTGACGATGATGACTTTCGTCATACGATGAACGAAAGCTTAGCACCTCTTAACCGGAATCGAAGAAGACTACCTCGGAAACAATGTCATTGGGAGGAATTCGCGGTTGTCTTCTGGTAGAATTGACCTTCGAATCATTTCAACAAACACTTTCACTCGAAATGGAAATCAGCCCAACTTTATTTCGCATACAAATTCTATTCAACTCAACAAGTTTCGCCAACCCAGGATCACTTAGAGAGCTCCAAATCAATTATTGCTTAGTCAGTAGGCCCTACGATGTCATTGAATTTCACTTAGACTTATTTTATAAAAGTTAGTTATATCATCTATCAGAACTTGATTACCTTATGCATCCTAGTGCTCATACAGTTGGTATCGAAGCCTATTCTT